ATTCTCACAGGATTGCCAGAACAGGAACTGGAAAAGTGCTTCATGATTGGAGGAATCTGAATTTCTGCTGCATTATTCAGACGTTCGTGTCAGAATTTGGTATCACTCAGTGCGTTCACATATGGATCTAGGATGATCTATGGCAATAGACTGGGAGCCTTTATCCTAGTTTACATGCACATTAGAAAACTAAACTCTCCAATGAAGTGAATTCCACTCCGCTACAGTAGGTAGCGTTATTCTTCGGGCTAGCCAATAGTAACACAAGTAAACAAACCCTGGCAAGAGTGAAGCAGATGGAGTAAAAGCAGGGTATGCACAATGGCTGAAGGAATGGACAACAACACTGCAGCACAGTTTATTTGGTACTCAATGGTGTTTTGCGTGTTACTTTGTGGCGATTACCAGAAGACTGCTTCTGCTCTTTTGTCATGTCTGATGGCTTCTTCCAGCAGGATAAGGCATCATGTCACAAAGCTCTAATAAACTCCGACTGGTTTCTTGAACAAAACGGTGAGTTCACTGGATTCCAACAGCCTTCAAAGACCATCTAGAGTTCATGCATCTTTCATGATCACTTTTTCATATACAGGGTCACAAGAAGATGGCATTGTCATCTGGCAGTCACATGCCAAGAGAAGGGGTAAGCCCAAGAGAGCTCTCAAGTCCATGATATACGCCTGCAAATTTCAAGCCTACATTCAGCCTAAACCATTCAGGACTGCCTGGTTACCACCACAACACACCCTTTTTAGTTGGGTGAATTTCCTGAACCGCTGAATGAGATGAAAATGGAAACGAGCTATTATAACTCTAAAATGAAGCTCAGCTCAACATTCAGTGCGTTAGCATGCACATCTAAGTCAATCTAGATTGATCTAAAGTAATAAACTGGGAGACTTTAGCATAAGTTACATACGTTAGAAAAACAAACTGTCAAACAAAAATCGTTCCATTCTAGTACAGTAGGTGGTGACATGTATCCTTTCGTATGGGCATTAGCTTATAGTAACACAAACGTGAACAAACGCTGGCGGAAGTCATACAGACAAAGTTAAAACAGGATATGCAAAATGGCGGAAGAATTGGACAACATGACTGCAGCACATCTTCTTTGGTGCGTACTGCGCTATTTAATGGCAATTGTATTATCAGAAGATCGCTTCCACGATCTCGTCACTTCCAGAATCTACCGGCATCCGCTCAACTGAGCCATTTACATGTAGATGAAGTCAAATTCTTAGCGCATTATCTGGCTACTTCAGCAAAATCAGAACTAGTTCACCTTCAGCAAGACTAATGCATTTACATACTTAAAAAATATCAGTCCATTTAGGGCAAAGTAAAACTTACCTCGCTGTGTGTGCTGAGTTTCTGAGTTTTTTGCCCCACGAGACGCTGAGGAGGTGAAAATCAAACCGGTTTGATATATTTTGCCCCACGGGGGACAGAAACTCACCATGTGCGCACTACGTGAGCTGCCGGCTGAGGTGGAATATTCTAGTGACCAATCAAAGTGTGTCTCCCCCCCCCCCCCCCCCCCTCACATGATTCCGAAATGGCAGCCCCCCATCTGCATGTCAGAAGAAAAAAAAACGGTACCTTGCGGATCGGTTGGCTCACTGTTTCCACCACCCTTTCGATGGAATCAGTATCAATATCAAACCGGTTAGATTTTCACCTCAGCGTCTCGTGAGGCAGAAAACAGTGAAAATCAGGCACACGCAGCGAGTTATCTGCTAAGCAAATGGTCATTCGAGGCTGTTTGCTCTCGTGTGCGGCAGGCTTAATGGAGGAATATTGGTAGAAAAGAAAATCAGCCTTTTCCTAAACACATTCATAACTTTTCCATAATTAGAGAGAATTTAAATTTACAAGATAATTCACCCATTCACGCAAACTTTTTGCCCAACAGATAAGATTGTTAAATATTCAAGCTTTTGATAAGAAATAGGGTCAAAGGTCAAACTATTACCTTAAACCTAGCCTATCTAGTAAGCATGTGTATGTCCTTTGAATGAATTGTGAATTTAAAGATGCATTAAAGAGAATCATCACAAGACAAGCAATGATACTATTAATGTTACTTGTACAACGTGTTCTGCAATGATATGAAATGGTGAAAGCCCAAAAGAGTAATGGCCAGGGAAGTCCTGAGCAAGAATGTCCCAGATAGGGAACCAAGTCATTTTAGATATCGAGTCTCAGCCTTATGCCTGCAGCTTTTACAGAACGTTAGGCTATTAAAATATTAAAATCAACATGAGTTTCTGTGGACGATCAAAGTGCAAGTTTATCTTTATAAATCAGCATCTGTCTCCTTCCTGCAAAAAGATAATCATAGCCCATTTTTAAAAACGATGTTTCTCCATTTTAACCAACCGAACCATGTAGTTAATTTGAATCATGTTGAGTTGTGCTGAGTAGGTACAAATGGAGTTACGGCATAAGTGACTGGTGATTAAAAAGCACAGAAAATGCATGAAGATGTGAGACTTGTGTTTCCTCTGCTGACTTGACTTACATGGGCAGTTTCCTGTGTAGCTAAAAAGCTAAATTTATTTATTTAAAATCAAACATGGTTGTTGGTCCTGGTAAAAATGATTCTTTCCTAGATTGATGATGAATTATGACATGGGTACCAGCTTGGTGGCCTAGTGGTAGAGTGTCCGCCCTGGAACTAGGAGATCGGGGTTCAAATCCCTGTCTGGTCATACCAAAGACTTTAAAAATACCTCGCTCCTTGACGCTCAGCTTTAAGGGGTTGGATTTGGGGAATGAAATACCAAATAGTTCACAAGTGCAGCCGTGTCTGCAGCTCACCAATCCCCACAGAGAGGACAATGTTCATATACACCAGTGTGTGTGACAACTATGGAACTTTACCTTTAACTTAGCAAAAATAAACTTAAGGTCAACAGCAGAGGAGCTGAGATTTGCCAAACAGAACTGATCAAAATGAAGTGACTGGATAGAAAACCTGATTTGATAGTAGAATTCAAAATTTTAGTTCTGACAATTAAAAGGAAGTGAAATCAATAACTTTTTACACCGTTTCTCCCTCAAAACATGTTCAAATTGAATACTTTGTAATGTAAAAGTAATTCCCATACCTATAAATTGCAATATTGTCCTGCATCTGGAACAATATTGTTTGAAATCATACCTTAAAGCTTTTAACAACCAGTTAAAACAAACTCATGCAGTTGGTGATGAAATGCAAAAGTGAACAAAAACCAAGACTTTGTTTAAAATGTCAAAAGAACAATGTGGACCGAAGAAAATCTAATTATTTTTTAAGTGTATTTCTTCCAGCTCGTTTTCCCCTCTTGACTCTAGAATGACAGTTCAAACGAGTCTGTTTAATATTTCTGAGCTTATCATGTTCAACATGTTGGCAAACCTGTCACGGCCTTTAAACTTCCAAAAAAACCACCACAAAACCTTTAATTGGGCTCATCTTTAATCCTTCTGAAAATGGAAACAGTTCAAAGGCCTTTCTCTCACCTGAGCCCTTTCAATACCTCCTTTCTTGTTGTTTACAGATAAAGCCTTAAAAGTTATTTATGCACTCCTTCTCAAGAAAGGGGTTCAGTCTGTTTTGCAGATTGGCCTTGAGTTATTGAAAGCTAACTTAATAAAAACTGGCCTTGCATTAGGACAGCTGGTTGAAGGTTGTTTATTATGTGTGATGGCCTCTAATCTCCTGGGGCCTCATTTATCAAGCTTACTTACGCACAAAACGGGGTTGGAAAACTGCGTAAGCAACTTTCCACACAAACTTTGGGATTCATGAAAGAAAACTTAGCAGAAAAATGTGCACAACTTTAAGTTGACTAAGGACCTGGCTTACGCACATGTTGGACATGGAGAGCACCTGCAGTGCTGCTGCTGAGAAGGATAGAATTGTGAAATCCAGCAGCATTATCACTTGTACTGCTTTGTTTTCACACAGAACAAGACCCCCACACGTACACACACGCGTACGCACACACAGCCTGAAGCGCAGAATACGGAGTGCAGAATATCAGCAGGGGACAGACTGAGACAGAATGTCATGCATCTGTGGCAGTGTGTCCTGTCACTGTGACCCAATTGATCATGCGCCCTGGCTACTTGGACGAGGGAGATCTCTGTTTGGCTGACTGGTTAGTGTGCATGGCTTTCACCTGGGAGTCTGGGGATCAAATCCTGATCAGATCATTTTTTATATATGTCACAGATCTCTCTGAAGAATTCAGCATTGACGGCTTCAGCAACGCTGTGCCACTCTGTGGATTTTCTCTTATTTGTTTTGCAAAAGCACTTCCTTTCATTTTTCCACCTCACCCACAAGTACCTGAATTTCTGCTTGTGAAATAGCACTTCCTTGATCTGCGGTCGTGATCGAAATGCTGCAACAAGCCGGCTTATGTATATGCATGAGGTCCACAAGGCACTTTGCATTGACTATTTATGGCAGTAAGTGGGCGTGGTGAGGGCGGGATGTGACTAAAAAGCAGCTGCGAAACATTCTCGTTAGTCTCCGATTTATGAAGCGGAGATTGCGTGCAGCTGTGCGTACTCTATGTTTGATAGATCACAAACCTACTTCGCGTAAGTACATTTTTTTTGCTGAGCTTAAGTACGGTTTTAGTAAGGATTCTATGCAATGTTTGATAAATGAGACCCCTGGTAATTACTCACACAAAGAGCAAGGAATGTGGATGGTAGTTGTCTGATGCTCACATGAAAATGTGTGTTTGTGTGTGTGTGTGTGTGTGTGTGTGTGTGTGTGTGTGTGTGTGTGTGTGTGTGTGTGTGTGTGTGTGTGTGTGTGTGTGTGTGTGTGTGTGTGTGTGGCGAGCTGAACATTAGACCTTGACGAATAGATGCTGCATCATTCATGTGCAATGGAGCACAGCTTTAAAGCCATGTTCAGTCCATATGTGTTTATGTGTGTGTGTGTGTGTGTGTGTGTGTGTGTGTGTGTGTGTGTGTGTGTGTGTGTGTGAACTCACCCCCTGTGAAAAGTAGAAGGCTGCAATACCCAATGGCCAGAAACAGCAGAGCATGGAGAATATAGCCAGGCCAAGGTGGTCTCGTGGCGGGACGACAATGAAGTTATCTTCACTCTCGCTGTCACTGGAGCAGTCCGTCTGCACAGAGAACAAGGTCAGTGTGAGTGCCTGCTTTAGCTGTTGTACGAGGACAAATAAAACAGTTTACAAGTGGTGATGGTGCAAAAAAAATGTTTTAAATGTATATTTATATATACAGGCCATTCTAAAAAAATTAGCATAATGTGTTAAAGTTCATTATTTTCTGTAGTGCACTGATAAACATTAGACTTTCATATATATTAGATTCATTACACACAACTGAAGTAGTTCAAGCCTTTTATTGTTTCTAATATTGATGATTTTGGCATACAGCTCATGAAAACCCAAAATTCCTATCTCAAAAAATAGCATATCATGAAAAGGTTTTCTAAACGAGCTATTAACCTAATCATCTGAATCAATTAATTAACTCTAAACACCTGCAAAAGATTCCTGAGGCTTTTAAAAACTCCCAGCCTGGTTCATTACTCAAAACCGCAATCATGGGTAAGACTGCCGACCTGACTGCTCTCCAGAAAGCCATCATTGACACCCTCAAGCAAGAGGGTAAGACACAGAAAGAAATATGTGGACGAGTAGGCTGTTCCCAGAGTGCTGTATCAAGGCACCTCAGTGGGAAGTCGGTGGGAAGGAAAAAGTGTGGCAGAAAACGTTTCACAATGAGAAGAGGTGACCGGACCCTGAGGAAGATTGTGGTGAAGGGCCGATTCCAGACCTTAGGGAACCTGCGGAAGCAGTGGACTGAGTCTGGGGTAGAAACATCCAGAGCCACCGTGTACAAGCGTGTGCAGGAAATGGACTACAGGTGCCACATTCCCCAGGTCAAGCCACTTTTGAACCAGAAACAGCAGCAGAAGTGCCTGACCTGGGCTACAGAGAAGCAGCACTGGACTGTTGCTCAGTGGTCCAAAGTACTTTTTTCAGATGAAAGCAAATTTTGCATGTCATTCGGAAATCAAGGTGCCAGAGTCTGGAGGAAGACTGGGCAGAGGGAAATGCCAAAATGCCTGAAGTCCAGTGTCAACTACCCACAGTCAGTGATGGTCTGGGGTGCCATGTCAGCTGCTGGTGTTGGTCCACTGTGTTTTATCAAGGGCAGGGTCAACGCAGCTAGCTATCAGGAGATTTTGGAGCATTTCATGCTTCCATCTGTTGAAAAGCTTTATGGAGATGAAGATTTCATTTTTCAGCACGACCTGGCACCTGCTCACAGTGCCAAAACCACTGGTAAATGGTTTACTGACCATGGTATTACTGTGCTCAATTGGCCTGCCAACTCTCCTGACCTGAACCCCGTAGAGAATCTGTGGGATATTGAGAAGAGAAAGTTGAGAGATGCAATATCCAACACTCTGGATGAGCTTAAGGCCGCTATCGAAGCATCCTGGGCCTCCATAACGCCTCAGCAGTGCCACAGGCTGATTGCCTCCATGCCACGCCGCATTGAAGCAGTCACTTCTGCAAAAGGATTCCAGACCAAGTATTGAGTGCATAACTAAACATAATTATTTGAAGGTTGACTTTTTTTGTATTAAAAACACTTTTCTTTTATTGGTCGGATGAAATATTCTAATTTTTTGAGATAGGAATTTTGGGTTTTCATGAGCTGTATGCCACAATCATCAATATTAGAAACAATAAAAGGCTTGAACTACTTCAGTTGTGTGTAATGAATCTAATATATAAGAAAGTCTAATGTTTATCAGTACATTACAGAAAATAAAGAACTTTATCACAAAATGCTAACTTTTTTAGAAGGACCTGTACAACTTATCAAGGCATTCAATCATTCTTTTTTATAAATTGTGGAAGAATTGATGTAGAATGTAGCCATTAGGCATCCCTATAAAAACATGTGCCAACTAAGAACAGTTAATAAGAATATGTAATATTTTCTGCTTTTCTTATTAAGAACATTAAGAGCAAACCCAAGTTATCACAGTCAGTTTTTTGGAGTAGCCTTGGTCTGAAAATGTCTAATAGGGATGCCACAGAGGTGGCTCTAAGAACAGATAAACAGCCTCCCCATCTTTACCTCCAAACCGTCATAATATTGGAGTTCATTTTGTATTTTGAGTTTCCTCCAGATGCTGTTCAGAAACTAATTATTTAACTCTTATAAGCTCTTTTTGAGGTCTAAAGAGGCCCATCTTTATTGCAGGTTAAACCAACAACAATGATGTCATCTGCAAACTTCCCGATTTGATCGCTAGGAAATGTGGTAGAGCAATGGGATGTGGGCAGTGTAAACAGAAGAGGGCTCAACCATGACGGGAGCTGGTGTTAAGGACAATGGTGGATGTAACAACATAAATATTAAAGCTACAGTGAAAAATTTGGAAAACCAGTTAGCTTAAAACATCTTTTTTCATGCTTCTTAACAACCTTCTAACTTAGTATAGCTATAAATGTATTGCTGGATAAAAATAAATAAATAAATAAATAAATAAATAAATAAAGTGGTTGTCTCACATTTGTCTAAAAATCTCTCCCAAATACATGTTTTGGACCAAAAGCAACTATTGGACCATTCAGTTGTCAGTCTGGCAGAACTGCCGCACTTCTGCACTTCCCTGGGTCTTCTATTAATAACGTACTCGCATATATAGCAACAGAATGTCACTGGTGTGGGAGAAGGAGAAACAGCTACCACTTCAAATTTAGGACAAACTATGATCAATTTGGAGTCACCTAGAAAATGGCGACTGGTGTTTAGCGTCATCTCGTTTTGTCATGGGTTTTTGGCTTCGACAGAAGCGTTTCAGGGAAGATACCCGAGGGGAGGGGTGAGTGTTCCGTGACCATGTTTGCGATCAAAACCTAGCTTGTTCTGTAGATTCGTTATAAGAAAATTATCAAATAGGTCTTTAGCTAGAGTCTGGGGTATGTAGAATAGTCTATTGAGATACATAATGTATACAACAAAATTATTGCAAGCAAGCAGTATTTTCTGTTCTAGTAAGGCTTTACTAATGGATGACCATTAGGGGCAAAAATCCCTGGGAGTGCAATTTTCAAATCCCAGCTTAAAGACAAGCACATCAGACTCCCTTTCGTCACTGGCAACAAGCGAAGAAGTAAAAGTGTAAAGTTTAGTAACCACTTGCTACAAATCTGTAAATGTGTTTTGTCCTCACGGGCTCCGGTAGAAGGAAAGATTGTGTGTAAGATGGCATTGCCCAGATGTTTACCCACTCCCATGTGTTTTAGACCCAATTTTTGGGGTTATACGTTCTGAAGCCGCTAACATTTTTCAAAATCTGGGCATCATTTAATTCATTTTCAACAACATTTCAATAGATCATGGACATAATTTTCACTTTAGAAGTGCAGGGGGCACGGGGGTGGGGTGTCTTTACAGAATGCTCTAATGGGAAACAGGCTTCAACACAACGTTCTTTTCCGCTTGGTCCTAGAGCTCAACCAGTGTCAATTTAATATAAAGTAATATTGTTTTTGGATGGTAAAAAGTGCAGGGGTCAAAACTTGACTTTGGAAAAAGTGGGGGGGGGGGTATGGGGGGGGGGGGGATGTCACCCCTCCCCCTCCCCCCCCAAAAAAATTACATCCATGCAATAGATATTTCCAGAGATTAATGGTTAAAAAGTACACATTTAGACCTTAAACTATCAAGTTAGATAATCTTGACTAACCAAGATCTCAAAAATCAAACATGGCCGCTTGTGCATTAACATTTATTAAAGAGAGAGAACCCCTCTTGTTGTTTGCGGTAAACCAGGGCGAGAGGTGTTTTAAAGCTTACATGAAAAATGTCCCCTTGGAAAAGAAAAGCCATTTTTGTAATGAGAAACCAAACATGTCACCTTGTGTGGGATTGTTTGCTCCCACGAAATGCCACAGCTCATATTCATGGGCTCTTTGTGAAGGCCCATTAGTTTTTCATTAGTTTTGATATATGCAGATTTCCACATTTAGGCTTCTAAACAACAGATGGTATAAAAACAAAAAGATACGGTTGGAAGTATCCTCCATTTCAGATGTGAAGTTGTTATAAATCAAAGCACCTCCACCCTTAAGCTTTATGAAACTATTTCACGCTCCAGACATTTTTCCTCACATTCTCTTCTGCACAAATAGAGGAACGCGTCCATTTGCATCGTTACAAGGTAACAGAATCTCAGTCCTTATCTACAGTCAAATAATATCACCATATGTCCATATCTATATTTCGTTGGTAACATCTTCTAATGCACTTACTCATAAACACAACAAAGGCTCGACTGATTTTCACTGGCTGCAGTAATGAAAAGAAATTGTAGATTAAGGTCACTGTTTCTATATGAGACCATAAGCTGCATTCTTCCCACGTTATCCTGTTAAAGGGATGATCCAGCAGGAAAATAGAACTTGGAAAATAAACGAAAGGGGAAAAAAATCAAGGATAATGTGTCATAGAATTTAATATTGGAGTGGACAAAGCAGGAAATAGGGTGAAGGAAGAAAGGAGTCCAAAAACGGATTTTTTTTTTTTTGTGGTTGGGATTTAGGTGACAAATTTAGACAGCTACAGGGTGCAGGATTCAGTTATTTGTGTTGCGTTAACAAAGGTAAATTGGTGTGAATGAGTGAATGCATTATGAGTGCATTTGCTTCCAGGAGTGAAAGTGTTTGCAATTATTCCTAATAACACATGATGTTGTGTGATTGATGATGGAGCTTAGGCAGCGGGTGGTCGACACTCGTGCACAGAGGCTCTGCTCACTAATGACAGAGGCAAATATTGGATTAGGCTTCAAAAACAAAATAAAATGTGTTTAACATCAAACATGCTAGTAAAAGCTTATAAATGCCTCCCTGCCTGCAGACAAAAGCAAACCGTGCTCGAAAAACCCGTTAAAAGCTGCAAAACTCCAGAGTGATCAATTTATTATAATTCTTTCCAAATGAAACACCGGAGCACAAAAAAAAAGGTCAGAACACACAAGCACAGTGCAGCTTACACTGTCACTCTGCTTTAATGGCCTTAAGCAGGTGGTGTACAGCAATCTCTGCAGAGCCAGGCCTGCTTTGTGCTG